TTAGCAGAATAAGCTTCAGGAGGGAATGAGTGAATGTCAGCGTATTCTCCTCCTTCTGGGAGCATTGCTAAGGAGTGGTCCCCAAGGGTGGGTTGCTTGAGGCACAACCAAAACGACCTTCCGACATCCATCTATCCCAAAACCGGATCTGTGAAACACTGGATTTGTGTCTGTAACAATGGGATGCAGAGAAATTTAAAAATGGGTTGCAATATACAAACAAGTGCCTTTCATGGAATTATAATTCCCAGACTCACAAGTGTATTGGAGCAGTTGAAAAACATGCAATCGCTGGTCGGGCGTGTGGGCTCACGCCTGTAATCCCAGCACTTTGAGAGGCTTGAGGCGGGTGGATCACGAGGTCAGGAGGATCGGGACCATCCTGCTAACATGGTGAAACCCATCTGTACTAAAAATATATATGATAAAAAATTAGCCGGGCATGGTGGCGGGCGCTGTAGTCCCAGCCACTCGGGACGCTGAGGCAAGACAAATGGTGTGAACCTGGGGGCAGAGCTTGCAGTGAGCTGAGATCGCGCCACTGCACTCCAGGGCTGGGTGACAGAGTGAGACTCCATCTCAAAAAATATATATAAAAAAAAAAAAAAAGAAATAAAAACATGCAATCTCCTTGATTGGTGAAAACATACCTACACATTCAACTTCTCCATTCTTTATTTCAGAAGAATGACTGCAGGATAATCTACATGGCATGGAATGCCAAAGATGTGGCTGTGTCTTATTATTTCTACCAGTTGGCAAAAATGCACCCAGAGCCTGAAAGCTGGGAGGAGTTCCTGAATAAATTCATGGCTGTAAAGGTGTGTTTTGGTTTCTGGTATGACTATACTGCTGGGAGAAGAGGAAAGGGTTTTGTATCTTTTACCTATTTTTATGAAGACATGAAAGAGAATTCAAAGTGTGGAATTCAGAAGCGGTTAAATAGAAAAAGAAATGCCAGAAGAAACTGTGGGAAAAATCTTCTAGTATAGCTCTTCTGATGTGATAAAGCAGAATCCTAGTGGAAATTATACCACTATGGAAAATAATCAGATGGACCATTCTGTCTCCCTTCATAAGAAAGGATATTTCTGCAGACTGGAAGAATCAATTCTCTGTCGCTTAGTATGAGAAATTTGAAGATTATGAAAAGAAAATGAAAGGGTCTACGCTGCAGTTTCAATCAGAAATCTAAGAAGGACCTGCTCACCAGGTGCAGTGGCTCATGCCTGTAATCCCAGCACTTTGGGAGGCCGAGGAGGGTGAATCACCTGAGGTCAGGAGTTCAAGGCTGGCCTGGCCAACGTGGTGAAACCCTGTCTCTACTAAAAATACCAAAATTAGCCAGCCATGGTGGTGGGAGCCTGTAATCTCAGCTACTCAGAAGGCTGAGGCAGGGTAATTGCTTGAACCCAGGAGGCAGAGGTTGCAGTGAGCCGAGATCGCGCCATTGCACTCCAGCTTGGGTGACAAGAGCGAAACTGTCTCAAAGGAAAAAAAAAAAAAAAAAGGACCTACTCTTTCTCCATCTCTTTTAACTAGCATCTAAATTAAAAGAAAAGAAATTCCTTTAAACATTTAGTGAAAGAAAATTCTCTAGTGATGTTTCCTTAATTACTCGGATTAATGGTTTATAATACAATAATCAAAGAATTCCAAAGTCTACATAGAAAAAAACAATACAGGCCGGGTGCTCACACCTATAGTCCCAGCACTTTGGGAGGTCAAGGCAGTGGATCACAAGGTCAGGAGTTTGAATCTCCTTCGCCAACATAATGAAACCCCGTCTCTACTAGAAATATAAAAATTAGCCAGGTATGGTGGCACACACCTATAGTCCCAGCTAGTTGGGAGGCTGATGCAGGAGAATCACTTGAACCGGCAGGCAGAGGTTGCAATAAGCCAAGACCACGCCATTGCACTCCAGCCTGGGCGGGCCTGGGCAACCAGAGGGAACAACATCTAAAAAAAACAAAAAAAAACAAACCCGGCCGGGGCGCTGGTGGCTCAACCTGTAATCCCAGCACTTTGGGAGGCCGAGACGGCGGCGGGTCACGAGGTCAGGGAGATTGGAGGACCATCCTGGCAACACGGTGGTAAACCCGTCTCTTACTAAAAAATACCAAAAAACACAGCCGGCGAGGGTGCGGGCACCTGTAGTCGCCAGCTACTGGGGAGGCTGAGGCAGGGAGAATGGTTCCGTTAAACCCCAGGAGGCGGCAGCTTGAGTTGAAGCTGAGAATCCGGCCCACTGACTCCCAGCCTGGGCGGGAAACAAAGTTGGCGACTCCGTCTCCAAAAAAAAAAAAAAAAAAAAAAACCCACAATTACTATTTTCTTTATGATTTTAATTGCTTTCAATGGTATTTTTCTTAGTCTTTACAAATTAAATAATAAAATGACAGTTTTACAAATTTTTAAATGGTGAAAAATGGTAAATTTTATTCTTATGCATATTTCACCACAATAAAAAAGTTTAACTTGGGCCATAGGGTGCGGGGTGACTCACACCTGGTAATTTCCCAGCACTTTGGGAGGCTGAGGCAGAGTGATTCCACTTGAGACCAGAAATTCAAGAGACTGGCCTGGCACATAAGCAAGACCTGATTCGCACTACAAAAAGATAAAAAACCGTAAAAAACAGTCAGGTGTGATGGACACCACCTGTTAGTCCTAGCTACTTAGGAGGTTTGAGTAAGGTAGGAGGATCACCATTGAGCGGCAGGAGGTTCCAAGGAGTGCAATGAGCCTAGGATCATGCCAGTGCATTTCCAGCTGGGACGCACAAGAACCAAGACCTTGTCTTTAAAAAAAAAATTATTTTTTGGCTGGAAAAATGGCAAAACAAATGCAAGTGTGGTTCACCACCCATAGTACACGGGGACTCTCAGAGAAAAACATGAGTACATTTAAAACATTTTAAAATTCATTATGAGGGAAAACCTCAAGTCAACTGCACACGGGCAGATTATCTCTGTCACCTGGGGCTTGGTCTGACACTTGGCACTGTTGGATTCCCCCCTGATGTCTGGCTGTGACTCCCAGAGAATTGCCCAAACCCAGGGTTAAATTTGCCTGTAGTTTTTTGGCGGGGATAACAAAAATGTCACTTTTGTTGCCACCAGGGGATAACCTTCTACCAAGAACTAGCTAGGCACCAATCAGCTACTTTCTAAGTATGCCTAACAAGTGGCAACCTGTGAGTCCCTTC